CAGTTTCCTCCAATGAAAAATGAAGGGCTTGGAAGTGTACCTGCAAGTCCCCAGAAGCACCTGTTCTTCCCAGCGTCCTCCAAAGCCCCACTCACCTCCACCCTCCCAGGCGCAGTTCCAACCCCGGCCTCACTCAGTCCTACATCTTAAGTCTGGCATATTTTAGATGCTGGAAGGTTTTCTGAGTAAACAAACGAACAAACGAACAAGAGATAATCTCTCTTCTTAAAACCTTACAATGTGGCAATGAGAAAAGGTTTATAGAATTAAGACTGGACCCCATGGCAAGGCTGGAGCTGTTTGCAACATATAAAGAGTATAAAACTGGCTAAAATTGTATCTTTGATAATGAACCAAGTGTAAAGTTCAGTTTGTTTTTTAGTTTATTATGTATTGGGCAAATAACAGTCACATGGTTCAAATGCAAAGGAAACCAGTTATATGCTCCCTGAAATATCCTCCCAGAAATATTTTCTGTGTAATTAAAAAATACAAAATTTGTAATCTAATCATAATTGTAACCCGGAAAAATGAACTAAAATCACTGGCTAGGAACTTAATAAAAGGCTGATTATGATTAGAATCCTGGGCAAAACCCACAGGGTGGGGCCGTGAGAAGGGCCGGGCCGTCCCTGGCCACCGCAGCTAAATGGGACACTACCCCGCAGCTTGAGTCACAGATTCCAAGAAGGGGAGGGCTCCTGGCTAATCGGGCGGCAGCTGCAGAGACACTTCCTTCCTTTTTGCGGTTTTATGCCGTACTCTCTGAAGTCTGAACTTGGGAAAAGTGGATATATTTGAACAATTAAAGAAAAAGCAGAAGTAATTGGAAGCTGGAGGCCCACACTCGCCCCCCGCCCCCGGGATACCTGCTGTGCCCCAGCTTGAGCGACCCCTCAGGGAAACACTGTCGAGGGCGCGGGGGGAGGAAGGCTGGGCGACCACGCAGGTGTGCCTCGTGTTAACCCTCCTCAGGGGAACGAAGACATGGGGAAGGGTGAAGTGAGGCAGGCGAGCTGGGTGCACAGAGCAAAGCCCTTTGATCCGCCCCTCCTGGGGTGTAATTCCTCAACGCCACTCCCGACCTCTCCTTTACGGGAATCTGGGGCACCTCCTGACAGGACGACCTTGGGAAGACTGAAGGGAAAGGTGAGCAACCGGCCTTCCTCTCCCTCCTGGGTTCCTGGGGAGGGGCCGCATCTCCCGGGGAGGCCGCCTGCCACAGGGCAGACAGATGATCCGGGGCAAAATCTCAGCCTCGGCCCGACAGAATTTCTCGAGCTGCTTGTAATATGAAGCCTGGCCCTGGCTGGTGTGGCTCAGTGGTTAGAGCGTGGCCCCCAAGCACCGAAGGGTCGTGGGTTCGATGCCTGGTCAAGGGCATGCACCTGGGTTGCAGGCTTGATCCCCAGCCCTGGCCAGGACGTCTGCGTGAGGCAACCCATCGATGTCTCTTCTTTCCCCCTCCCTCCCACTCTCTAAAAAGCGATGATAAAAATATCCTCTGGTGAGATTAACAAGAAAGAGCACGGCTCTGACACACCTACTCCGATGGCAGGGAAGGGGCCCCGGCCGGAGGGCAGCACCCACTCAGGTTGAAACCCACAGGGGTCCTAAAAGACGAGGTACACTATAACTTAGCTTTTAGTTAAAATATTAGATCAGCCCTTCCTAGTGCACTGGAGGGTAGTCGTGACCGGGAGCCTGGAGGCCGGCCTGTAAAGCGAGTTTCAGGGAAGACTTCTCTTTACATTCTTAAGATCACAGAAGACTGCAGCCTGAGAAGTGCGAGGCGTTTAGCTTTGTTTTACTCCCTTACGGTAACAGAACCTAAATTTCAAGCTGTCCTGCAGAAAGAACTCTAACAGGAAGACCCTGTGGCCACAGTCAGGAGACCCCAGACAGGATGCTGCCAAGAGCGAAGTCAGAGGAAGAGTTCCAGGAGCTTGGCGAGAACTGACCAATCAGCAGAGCCCATGACTCATGACCGCTCAAGACTATTTGCCTTTAAAAACCCCAATTATAAGCCATTTGGGAGGTTGGAGTTTTTTCTTTTTTAGAATGTTTTTATTGATTTTTTAGAGAGGTAGGGCGAGGGGGAGAGAGAAACAGCAATGAGAGACAAACACTGATCATCGGCCTCCTGCCTCGCCCCTCCTGGGGTATCAAGCCCCCCCAGGCATGTTCCCTGACCAGGAATCGAACCATCCAACAGACGACCTCTTGGTTCCTGGGTTGACACTCAACCAACTGAACCACACGGCCGGGCAGGAGTTTGGGGTTTTAGATGATGGCTTCTGTTTTCCTTGCATGGTGCCTGCTGTGAAGTGACTTGAATTCCTCCCATGCAGTTCTCAGTGCCCAGGGACGGCTCTGCCAGGCACCGGGCACCGAGCACACAAAGGTGACAGTCACCCCAACCTCAGCAGCAGACACTCCAGCATCTCCCCTCCATTGTTCAAAACAGCTTCCGTCCGTTTCATTACTTGTCAGTGCTCTGGTTATAACGCACATTTAAAGACTGTTTTCTACTCATAATTATCTTTCAGGAGAGTGGTTTTCAAAACCCAGAGTCCAAGGTGGGCAGGTGGGGGTCCAAGTAGGATGGACAAAGGGTAACACCAGCAATCGGACGCAGTGTTTTCAAAGATGGAAGAATTCACAAAGAGCACACAGAAACTATCCTGTATTTACTTTCAGGTCATCTGGTCCCCACACTAGAATTTTCAAAAAACAAAGGGAGAAACCACAAGTGAGTGAACATGAAAGCTTTATTGAGTAAATACAGGCCATGTCATGTAACGTTAGCTGAACAGGAAGGACCTTCTCTACAAAACGCCTCTGCAGGCTCCCATTTGCAGCAGGATCTGCTGGACATGGGGCCAGCATGACAGCTGCAGTTTAAACGCACAGAATAGGTCTGCACTGGGCTTAGGTTCCTGAAAAGGCCCAGCTGGGCTCCGAGTGAAGAGAAGCTGGAGAAGGGATTCCCGTAGCGCAGACTATCAATTCCACAAGGCTTCTGTTTTCATCTGGAGCTTGAAAACCCCTTTACACGTCCGTTTTAAGGCCCAGGACGAGCCGCCCACATGCACAGACTACCAGAACTCAACTGCGGTCAAGCGAGTTTCCCTCCCCTGGTTTGGCTCAACGTAAAGTTCAAGTCCCCCTTTCCTAGGCGAGTGGGTCATGAAGAACTAGACTCAGAGTGTCCTTCATTGCCAGGCCCCCGGGGTGCTGAGCCTGGCCTCAAGGGTGATTCCTACACTTTCCTACAGAATAAGCGAGCTTCCCTCTGAACACACGTTGCCAGTGTCAGAATCACGCCTGGGAGGTGTGCAGTGTCTCCTTCCCTCGGTGAGGGCCTGGGAACCTGTGGTGGGTCCCTGGCAGAAGGGGGCATCCTGTGGCCAATGGGCCTTGTATTGGCTTTTTGCTTCCCTTATAATTACTTACCTAACTGCACAACTAAAGCCTCCATCACATAAAATACACACCGAGCAGGTGAAGCGCAGGCTCCCAGAGCCAAAAGCTAAAGATGTTGGTAGTATTGGTATGCTAAATCTCAGCAAGTGTTTCTTCTGCTACGGATTATGACAGAAGCCCTTCAACAGACCTGATTTTAAAAATATCTTCAGCCCGGCTGGTGTGGATCAATGGTTGAGCATCAACCCATGAACCAAGAGGTCACAGTTCGATGCCCAGTCGGGGCACATGCAGGGTTCAGGGCTCGATCCCCCATAGGGGGCGTGCAGGAGGCAGCCGATCAATGACTCTCTCTCTCTCCCCCTCTCCCTTTCTCTCTTGCAAAAAAAAAATTAAAAAATTCAATAAAAACACAGAAAAATTTCTAGGTGAAAGGGTCATTAAAAAAATATATCTTCAATAAATCTAATGTCACGGGCAGGCAACTAGATTAGTAAGTAATTTCCTGTCTCTCTCATGCTCCTGAAATGCCCCAGCTAAGTGCTCTGTAGGCAGCATCTATGCTCATGTTATCAATGTATCCACAGACTTCCTCCTGGGCATTAAATAGGAGACAGTGAGGTTAGGCTGGTCCCTGTGATTACATGAAATGTGGTGTGAGGCTATCGACTCCACTATAAATAAAGCCCTGGGTCAATGTGTGACATGAAACAAGTCCACTGACTGGCCAGGGTGGGTGGAGTGACCATCAGTGTCCACCACACGCACTTTGGTGGTTGGTCACATGAGCTGTCCAGAGCCCATGGGACGATTCACTATGAGACCTCCCAGTTCAACCATAAAGCTCTTTTCCCCAATAGACAGGGTGTCCCCCAAAAAATGTATACATAATTTTAAACAGCTAATAGCTCAATTTTGAAAATGAAATGTACAGTATTGTAATAAACACTGCTGTATAATTACTCAAAGTGTGTGTGCATATTTCTGGGACCCCTGTGTATTTGATTTTGGAATGTTTTTTCCACAGCACAGCATTCAGACCCTGCAGCGCATCCTCGGACAGCTCAGGAAACCGCCACAGGACACTCTCAGGGATGTAAAAGATGCTTTTAATAGTCTAAGAAGAAAAATATGTTCCAAAAAACTTGTATAACAATATTCCAATATTGAGGTCAGTGGTGGCACGAAGCAGGGAACCAGGAAACGGTGATTTGCACCCAGTGCCGTTGTGCTGAGCAACACCTTGGCCAAGTGGCCGGCTGTGAGTGGGAGCAGATGGGACTGAGGACCAGCTCAGGTGGCCTGCCCCGTGTGATGTCACACTGACGGATGGGTGAGCCCATGATTGGCTTTTAACACCATTTCCTGTCTACTTACCCGGTTTATCTCACAACTTTATGGTGATGGCGTGAGCTTGTCTTTCTTTACAGGCCGGGAAACAGGGAAAATTAACAAAGCTCATATGGGCCATTTCACTTCAGCCTAGCTGCTAACATTGAACATCTGTATTATAGTTTAGAAAAAGTGTAACTGTGTATATGTGCACTATTTCAGGAATAAGTTATAACAAGCAATTAAAAGAACTTAAGACACTTTCACTTTATGTAAGAAATTTCAAATTAGTACACTATGATTTGTGAGCCATGATAATTCTCTTAATATTCTATGCAAGTTAGATATATATTTTCCTTATAAGCACTTCAACCAACTTCTCAATAATACATTATAGTTATGGAAGTGTTAATATTTTGAATACTTTCATTGATAATGGGCAGAGATATACTAATATTTAATAATCTTTCAGCTTTTCTTTTTAAAAAGAAACAGTGCAAAATAAGTCACTGAGAACTTTTTCCTGCAAAAACAAAAATGATTATTTGTCATAAGAATTTAATAAGTTTTAGAAGAAAAAATATATATTTCCTTAAACCATTTTCTTCTGAATTCACACCAGCATGTAGAGATTATAAAAAATAGAGTCTATTTACAGGGCACAGGGGACCTGGGTGACGTACAAAACAAGGCAACAATGCAGCACACACACACCTGCCTCACACACCTGCCTCCTGGACACACAGCTCCACACAACTGTAACTACCGTCCTACTGTACATGGTAATAACGGGAAATACACAGGAAGTCAAATATACAAAAGTTAACAGTAACATCGGCCAAATATGCCTAAAATGTCCACGTTTTATAAAACAATTAAGGTATTTGTTTTATACCTAGTGAAGGACATGGAGTACAAAAGTAGCATCGGTGCTGGGGGAGGGCGCCTTCGGAGCATATGGGGTGGGCGGACACACCAGGGAGCTCCTCACGCCAGCGCAGCCTACATCACCACGTGTGGCCTCACCCCATCTTCTGTGAGGTCATACCTGAGAGCGCAGGAAGGTGACAGCAGATGGGTCAGTGTGGGCAGTTAGTCGACACTCGGGGTCTATCTAGTGGTTTGTCATCTGTGGAAGGATACTCACCACTGGGTCCAGCCTTTGGCGAGTTCTTCAGAGGCCAAAGCCACCAGCACCTGTGGTTGAAGATCGTGTATAAGTGGGTGAGAAGCTCCCTCAGACCTTCGCCACTCCTGCTCTCCCCAATTGCCTCCTTCTCAATCTGCACTGTGGGGCTCGCTCTCCTCTACTGTGAGCCTCTCAAGTCTCCATGTTCCACCCCAGGATCCACCGAGGAACAACATGGCAGATCCGATCCGAGAGGTCAGCCTGCACCCACGTGTCAGGTCAGGTTGCTGTGAAACGTCAGGGGAGACAATGTGTAGGGACAGTGAAGGGCCACTGATGGCAGCACAGTTGACGTAGATTATCCATAAACGGTGCCTACAACTCAAAGCCTCTCCTCCCTAACTTCACGTCTTGCACGCTACTAGAGAATGCACATTCTTACATGGACAAAGACTAAAAGAAATAAAGCCAATGATTTGTTAGGAAAAAAAACCAGTTGGCTAGTTGAGGAGGTAGAATTGTAAATGAGTATGTTCCCTTTGGGTTTTATTTCATTGTGATACTGGAAAAAATATTTTATTTAAAAATAACCTTTTCTTCAACTGTAAGTTCATGATATTAGCATGACTAATATGCCAGATAACATGAACATGTAAAAACAACAAAATAACTTAAAACGTCCTCACAACGTACAACGTCTTAGCCGATACCGTCTCTCACGGCCCACCAACCGCAGAGTAAGCTCACTCCTTTCTGCTGACATACGTGTGGTCTACAAAATGCACGTGGGGCAGGTGCTGAATTTTCACAAGGGTCTTTTCAGACTCACTTTGCCAAGAAGCCCTTTGTCTTTGGACAGGAAGCCACCGCTGTTCTTCACGGCAACATCCAGTGTTCTCCGCTGCACTTCTGGTAACGAGACGCTGAAATCGAAGCTGAGAAAGAGGACCTCCCCTAAATTTCTCCACCATCTTGTGTAGTTTATCGTAACCAAACATGACATTTCTGCCTGAGACCACTCCCAATGTTACGCCTGTTATAAAATGGCGCTCTCGTGCTAGATGGTTGGGGCTGGCATTTCACAAAGACGCAAAATCAAAGTACTTTTCAAGGTTTTCAAACGTGAGAGAAGACTCTGGCACGCGGCTCCCCCGTGCACGGGGCAGGGCAGCTGGAATGTGGGGCCGTGGACGTTACACATGACTTAGCAGGAGAGTCAGACCAGAGGAGAGCAATTTCCAAGCCTGGGTAAGTAAGCTGATAAAAGCACCTGTGGTCTGAGTCACAGAGGAGAAAATGTCTGCACCCCACTTTTTAGGGGCTGCAATCAGATGCTGTAAACTAAAATGCTTTCGCAGGTCCTCAGAGCTGGTGTGTAGTTCGCATGTGGCAGGGTCCCTGACACACTAGAGGACTGAGAGCCTGCAACCTGGAAAGTACGTGGCTGGGACATGACTGGTCCTCCCAGGGAGCTGCAGCAGCGAGAGACCCAGACATGCACGTGGGACTCAAATTCTTCAACGCTGCCACCGAGTAAAAACAACACTGGCAAATACAAGGTGCCCACCCAGGATTCGGTGCAGGCCTGTCAGTAAGAACACAGCGAATGACTAGGACCTTTAAAGAAGAAGTGTAAAGGGAATTAGTGATACCACGCGACTTTATTATTTCCCAAAACGCTGGTGGTATTTAGCTACAGAGGACTATAAAGACAGACGCCAAACTCGCACAGATGGAGGCTCTCCAAGTGTGGCCTGAGCACCCTCTCAGGAGGTCGCCTCACCAGACTGACCACAGAAGCACACACGAGCCTCTGCTGAGCCAGAACATCAAAGAGATTTGCAAAAATCTAAAACAGTTATGCCATTCTTTTCACAAACTTTTAAAATTATTTTGGAAACCAGCTGTTTTCGTAAGAATGTTCTATTTTAAGATGTTATAGGTTTACTATTTTTCAAATGCATTTATATTCTCGGTGTTGACTATAACTCAGCTGAGGGCCACGCCGCCCTTGATCTTTACGCGCTCGCCTGGCATCTGTGGTGACAGCTCCTCACTTCTGCACGAGATTCAGTGCTCACTTACCTACAAGCTCGCACTGCTAATGTGGAGTGGTTTTCACTTCTCAGCACTGTGTGGGCACCAACGCTTTGTGCTGGAAGGCACTAGTTGGCCCTCTTATTTTTACCCAATAGCTGTCCCAGGGGAGTCAAATCCATACCTCTGATCGAACACAGGGTTCAGTGTCTTCTTGGACACGTGTGTTTTCCTCCTCCCTGACCTCCTCTTGTCCGGTAACAAATACATGCGGACGTAGGGGTCAGAGCCATCCTCAGAGAAAGCAATGAGGTTTCTTGAAACACAAACCAGAGAATGGCGGACATTAGAATCTAGAAAAACAGCAATTCGTATCACATTCAAATTCTCCACGGTCCTCGAGGAACACTGTTCTGTTACAATGTTCACGGAAAACCCCTCAGCGGAATTGCCTGTGTGGAGTTCGCGTTTTCTCCCAGAACTCTGGTTTCTCCCCACATCCCAGAGCTGTGCGTGAGGTGAATGGCCTGTCTAAACTGTCGGAGTGAGTGCAGGTGCAGGTGTGAGTGGCCCTCAGATGGAAGGGTGTCCTGTCCAAGGCTGGTGACCACCTTGTGCCCTGAGCTGCCAGGAAAGGCAACCTGGTCCCTTGTGACCTGAAACTGGGATATGCCAATTGGAAAATTAATGATCTCACTTGTTTTTATTCATACTAGATCTCACACTGATCTTAATGTTTAATGTTAGAAGTATTTGGGGTCTTTGTTTAGAAGTGTGGTGATGTTTTTAAGACCAGCAATATGCATAGAACTCAACTGTTGTTTGTATCAATTGTATGCAACCACTTCAAGTTACTCACTTACTGACAGACCTGAAAGTCTAGTTAGGGGCTGTTGGGTTGGAGTCTTTCTTCTCAAACAGCCTCTGCTCCTGCATCTCCCACAGGGACGATCTCAGTAGCAAGAACATATATGCTGCTAATACATATGTACTGAACTTTACATTTACCGTCATGTTTCTAAATGTCACTGATTTTATTTTTGTTTCCTTCAGCATTTTAAGAATCAAATGTTTATATAACACACTTATATCACAACTCTAGAGAGAGAGAGACAAGTCACATAAGAAAAATAGCTTCCAACCGTCATCACTACTCACGGACAAAGCACACTGTCACATCACACACACTGTCACCTCATGTCACACTCACTGAATCAGGACTCTGACAAGTTGAAACAAACCCTCCTGACTGTGGGGACAGGCAAACCCAGCCCCTCGACTGGACACTTGTTTCCTTGAAAGACTAAGGCAAAACTTATCATGACCCATCAACTTCCAGGTCCTCTGAATTTTTATAAATTTACTCCTACACACTTAATCCCGAAAAACCACTTCGATAAAAGATACTATGTTCACCATCGAGTTACACGTAAGGACCATCTAAACATCCACAACAGGGAAGGGCACGTAAACCACAGTTCACGGGCATGTTGTGAAGCAACCAAATGATATGCATGTTTACAAAACAATGTTGAGAACAAAGGAGGAATAAACACTGAACACTGGGGCTGCAGAAGATCTGCTTTGCTCTTTAAAAAACCTGAGTGACCTGTCCAGGGAAGCGAGAGCCATGAGCTCCACATGGAGGGAGGCCGGGCGCTGGCTCACCTGCAGGCGTGCACGACCACCACCAGCTTGTTTCTCTGCGAGCTGTGCCGGATCGTCAGCTGGATCTGCCCCAGGGGAGACTGTCCCAGTGTCGTCCCACTGAGGAAACAAAGCAGAAAGTCACGGTTCTCCCTAGACCTGACACTGGTCCAACGCAGTAAATCAAGTTCATCCATGTAGAAGAGAAGGGATCAAGCGGCCCATGGACTCAGACACAATCAAACCCAAGTGTAAATCAACCAAACTCCTATTTCAGTTGAGAGTTAATATAACTTAATTATTCAAAACTTTTTCACTTGGGACCCAAAGTAAAAAGAGAAACCATGGTCTCCCAATTACAAACATCAAATCTGTGGTCTTTGGCCTATAACTGCCCAAATCAATGTATCCTTTCTCCAAACCCCACACAGGTCCCTGGCTTTGTTGTTCGCTGACAGGACATCTGATGACATCAGACCAACCCCCTCGATTTCTGTCTCTCAAGGTCAAAGCACAGGCTCTAAGATAACCAACAACTGCCTGGCCCAGCATCCCCCAAGACCTTCTCGGCTGCTCCGAGAAAAAGTGGTTTCTTATCTAAAATTCTATTTCCTCCTAGAGCAAGAGAGGGGGAGGGACCGATTTCTTTTTTCCAAAACAGTGGCTGTGAGAAGGTGCGAAGGAGAAAAGGGCACTGAGTGTGGTCACAGGTGGTCATGTGTGTGCCCTTGTTCCGGCACTGGGACCACATGTTTCACTTCCACCCCACGTTACTACTCACACACCTCTCAGAACAAACGAGAAAAGAACTGTCTCAAAGGCAACTTCCTTCCTTCCGCTGAGAGGAAAACATTAACCTCTGAGGCTCATGGTGCCTGCAGATTGTGTTCCTACTTATTTAGGAATCATGGGGGTTAAGTAAGAAATCAACACAAACGTGTACAGACAAAAGCGACGGGGGACCAGCAATGGGGTGGGACGAGCGGTGGGTGCTCAGCAACCAGGAAAGAACAGGCCTCGATCCTACAGGACAGTCGCCGGTCCCGAGTGCAGCAGCTCAGCCCTGGACTCCGCCCTCCTGCCCTGAGGACAGCCACACGGGCATCAGAGCCTCTGCCGTTCCTGGGACCTGTCAGCCCACCACATTCTAACCCTGAAATGAGCCCAATGTTGGGCCTGGGAAGAGGCAGGCTTCACCCTGGGAGGGCCGCCGCTGCACCCCAGCCATGGAAGACAGCACCCCACGCCTGCGGGGCGCGGAAGCAGGAAGAGACAAGGTGTCTAGTTACTTCTCGAGCTGCCGCAGCCTCTGCCGGAGCTCCTGTGTGGCGATGGGCAGCGATATGTCCGAGGCTATGCTGGGGGTGGGCTCCTTGGTGAAGATGTGGCTGGGGGAGCCGGTGGCGCTGACCTGGAGGCTAGAGGAGCTTCTGCCAAGGTCCCGAGGGCCCTGAGGGCTGGCCTCACTGGGCTGGGCTCTCTCCTCCACGCCGGGCTTCGGGCCACCCCCAATGACTGGAGTGGATGGGGCTGGGCTGCTGTCACCAGCACCCGGCGACGAGGACACCTGGGACCTGACTGATGTTTTTCTCCCTCCTTTGGAAACGGAGGGTCGCTTTACTTGAGCCGAGTGCTGGTGGTCAGGAGACCTTTCCTGCTTTTCGAGGTGTAGTACCTAGAGGTAGCAATAAATATGAAATTAAAACCAGTGACACAGGTAACAGCCTGATACATGAGCAGCTTCAGATCTACTCATTTGCAAATGTCTCTTTAAAACTTGGCATAAAACATTATAAACAAATTGTCTATATGGTCACGTGTTGTATTAAGGTAATACAATGTTATAGGAAGTTAAAAAAGGAAAGTTTAAGTAATCAAAGTATCACTTCTATGATGTAAACGTTATTTCTGTATATTCTCTTCAACCTCTTTCATTTGCACAAATTTCTTCAGAGTTGTGGGTGATGTTATTGCTCGAGGAGCCTAAGCTCCTGCCCTGCAGAGGCCTAGTCCCTCATCCTGCGAAGGCGGACTAGCCCCTGGTCTTGCGCAGGAGGTCTAGCCCCTCGTCCAACACAGGTGGTCTCCTCTACCAGCAACCTTAAGGAAGGATGAGTTAAAGACACCTCTACCCAGCAAGGTTACCCCAAACACCCAGCATCAATGTGGAAGCAGCCCGTGCCCGTCCATGGGAGACTACAGTACCCTGAGGGCGATCTTCATCTTCAGAGTGCTGTTTGGACCTGAATTACTGAGTTGGAATCGCTGGTTCACAGTCATATCATCACTGCTGAGCAGCCGACTGAGGGGGATCTTCAGGTTCCCCAGGGAACACTGATGCTGTTCATCTTTGACCTGGAAACACATCACAGAACACAATGAGCTCCAAGGATAATGACAGAAAACGTAGAAAGGTCCAAACCCAGTTGTTAAAAAACAAACTTCAGTCATTTCCTTCTAGGCAGTTTCCTTAAATGATGAACACAGTAGGAAACCTCCTTGGGAAGACAGAACATTGTAACAAGTGACACTACAATGTATCCACGGCACATATGTCTGTCACATCCCCATCACAACTGGGAGCACAAACAGAACACGGTGGTCATGAACCTATTAGGAGAACCCCGAGTTAACAGGCAGCAGTCTACAGAAACCTGAAGAACAGAAAGAAAATCTTAAACCCTGTGAAAATGATGACAATGCCCATTCATGTGATTTGTCAAGTTTCATGCTGACACTTGTTTATGGAAAATAATGGCTAAGTGTCTCTTAAGCCCTCTCTATCCAAAATCTACATGGTTGTTTAAAAATGTACAGTATCTGCTTTAAATGCTTGGTGAATCCTGTCTCCCGAACAATGCCCTGCGGGCATGGCCTCTGTAATAGGAAGTGTTGTACTGCGTAACAGTTTATAACCCATAACCAAACAGAGTAAGAACTTTCAAAGGCTACACAAAAATGGTCAAAGATGTTATCTACACATGAAAACCTAAAAGCCTGATTCCTAATTTCTTTATAAACTATAATCCAAAAGCATTTTTATTTTTATTTTTAAAATACGTTTTTATTGACATTTTAGAGAGAGGGAGAGGGGGAGAGAGAAAAGCATCAATGTGAGAGAGGGACATCAACTGGTTGCCTCCTACGCTCACCCCAACAGATCAAACCTGAATCCTAGGTATGTGCCCTAACCAGAAACTGAACTGAACTGGTGACCTTTCTGTACACAGGATGACCCCAACCAACTGAGCCACACCAACCAGGGCTAAGAGCATTTACTTTTAAAAGAAATAACTGCAACAAAGTGTACTGAACTTTAAAAGCTATTTTTTAAAATCAAGATCCAGTTAAGAATAGATTATTTTAAGAGCAGTGCAACTTATGAAGGAAAAATTAGCCAAACAAATACAAATTTTAGGTAGACAGATATATTTTGTGTAAAACCGAATGTGAAAACATAAAACAGGCAGAGAATGGACCCCGAGGGCCCACCCACAGTGCCCTGAGGAGATGAGAGGCCCCCACAGCAGGACATCCCCCAGGCTCTCAGGATCACAGGGGCTGAGAAACCCAGTCAGAGCTGTGTAAGCTAAAGAGCAAACAGAGGCCCTCAACCTTCTCAAGGGTTGAATGTTGGAAAGTAGGCCATGCAAAAAAGAAATATGGGAACTGGAATAGCTTAGACTGGCATGTCTAGTACGCCTGCCCCTGGGATGGCGATGAAAGCTGTGATACCACTGAGAACAGCTCTGTCCTAAGCTAACGCGAGAGGACAGACACACAACCACTGGGATTGCAGGGGTCCATCCAAGAAGCACCCTCCAACTCCTTCTGAGAGTGTAACTTACATACAGCACATACGTTAAAACATGCAAACACAGGACTCCTGCTTTTGGCCATGACAGATAATAAGAACCAAATGTAACACCCCACCTTAGCTTAAAAACAAGTGAGGCAAGCCTGACAACTGATCTGGTCACTGTCTGGAGAGTCCAGGCCATGGTGCCAGGAGGAGAATCCCAGAGGCTAGTGGTCCCTCTGTGTTGAGGACACAGGGTGAAGAGATCAGGGAGCAGGAGGTGACAGAGAGGAGGGATCCTCACAAAGAGCTGGAGGCCCCGAGGGCCCGTGTCTTCAGCTGATCGGCACATTCGAGGGAAGGAACCACACCCAGGAGGAGCAGGGGGACAATTCCCAGAGCACAAAGGGCTGTAGAAAATCTGGTAACACGTGAGGCCTCAGACTAGGGCCACATGATCCCAAGACTAGAGGCTGTTGGGTGGCCTAACAAAGCTTAAATCAAGCCTTGAAAGGCTCAAGGTATTTCCAAGTAACTTACCTCCAAATGGAAACAAAGCTCCAAAATATTTACAGAAATACAAACCCAGCACTCAATAATGTACAACTCACAATGGACAGTCTCCATGCAGCCAAAGTAGGAATACAGGATCCACAGATCCAGCAACTACACAGATGAAGGAATTGGCAACACGGCACAAGAATCTATCACACATAGACTACATGCACACGGAGGGCAGAGGAGGGACATGGAAGACAAAAGATCCAAACTCAGCTCCTAAAAGGAAAACAAAAGATGGGAGCGACAGCAGACTAGATGCTTGAGGAGGGAAAATGGAGGTCACACTGTCCACAACAGCAGACTCTCATCGGAAACAATGCAAGAGGGAAGACAGTGGAAGGAAAACCAGTTAGCCAAAAATTTTATGTCTTGTGAAGCTATCTTTCAAACACGAAGGTGAAACAGACTCTTTAGACATGCGAGGGCTGGAGGAACTCAATGCCAGCAGACTGGCCTGCAGGAGCTGTCAGAGGACGGCCTCTGGGCAGAAGCAAGGCCACCCGAGTGGGAAATGTGGCCACATAGGAAAAACTTCTTTCCTCATTTTTAAAAAAGTTCTTTATAATTGACCGTTTAAGGCAAAAATAGTAAAATACACTGTGGGGCAGAGGAAACAAGCACGCCACAGGAGGGTCGTGTACCACCGGTGACCACATAGGGTAGATGAGTGTGAGTAACAGAAGGTACCATGAGCCCTAGAGCAACCACAAAAACACTAAAAACCAAACAAGGAGCTGTAGCCAATAAGCCAAAAAAGGAGATAAAGTGCAGGCTCACTCCAAAAGAAGTCCTGTTTAAAAAGAGAAAAAGCAAAAATGAAATGGGGCAGCAGCACAGTGGCAGATTTAAACCCCACCACATCACTAACAACATTCAACACACGTGGCCGAAATGTCACAATTAAAAGGAAGAGATGATTGGATTGGAGAGAAACTCGAGGTTCAACTGTGCGCCGTCTATAAGAAGTCACCTAAATACAAATTTACAAATAGGCTAAAAAAGGGTGGCACTGACTTGTCAGGTGGACAAGCACTACAATCCCACACAGGCAGGAAACGTCCCTCCTCACCCTGCAAGTCCAGCATCACCCTGACACATGCTGGAGAAACAAAATTACAGATCGGTGTCCTTCAGGACTCAAATGCAAAAACTCAACAAAATTTTAGAAAATTAAACTGAATACGTGAGAAGGATACAACATTGTGACCCAGTGAGCTGCTCCCCTAATAAAGGTTTGCCCCGTGAGGCTCTCTAACTTTAAATCTTGAAAACCAAATAAAGGTTCAAAAGGTTTAACATTTGAAAATCAATGATGTATCATTCACCATATTTACAAACTTAGAAAAACCAGATGATTATCTCGATAGCTGCAGAAAAGCCTTTGATAAAATTCCACATCCATTCATGACAAAACTCTCAGCAAACTAGTAGCAGGGGGAGGAAGAAAAGTCCTCAAACTCCAGGCTTAATGGTGAGGCTCTGAGGCTTCACCCTAAGACCCGAGGGGCAGAGGTGTCCACTCACGCGAGGCCCGAAGAGGGGCATGACAGCAAGACAGAACAAGGGAGTCAGAGGCACCAGGTTGGAAACAGAAGCAGAAGCGTCATTATTATCAGCAGACGACGTGACTGGCCATGTGGAAGACAATCCTGAAGTACCCACGAAAAGCTACCGGAGCTAATAAGTTCAGCAGCGTTGACAATATGATGCCAACGTACAAAATCAACTGCTCTTCTTCTAGATACCAGTAACATTCAATCAAAAGTTTAAACTTTTAAATAAAAAAACATGTTTACAGTATCACAGACTCTGGAATACCTACAGTAGGTTTGACAGAGATGTGATTATGGTGATGGGCCCATGACCGGTACCCTTTAAATGTCTGCAGTTCACTACACGGTGATTACATTTCAACAAATCTAGTAAGAGTGCAGATACAATACCTCAACGTCAAGGTCCTGGCGCCTGGGATTGTGAATGAAGAAAGTGAAGTGTTCCTCCCACACAGGCTCATTGGTTTTGTACCGAATCTGAAAGAAACACCATAAAATCAGCTCTGTGGATGCTTTCTGTGTTTATATGTTTATGTGTTTGGAAGCTTGGGATAACTTAATTAAATTCCAAGGCATGTATTTACTGAGCATGTACTATTATGTACTAGTTGTGGAATGTGTTCTAAAGACAGAGCCCAAAGCTTTTGGGGTGTGCCAGGGAGGTTATGAAATCCCAGTCTGTGTGCCCATCCCAGTGAAAAAGGCTTCACCTTCTTGACTCAGGCTTCCTTGTACCTCCCCAAGGGCTACACAACGCTGCATTCAGGAGGATTCTCAAACTAATGGTGAGCAGGTGAATGTGAACAAAGGCCTGTCACTTAATTCCTGAAATGCTCTCTCGTATCAGGAAAGTGGGACATGCTGCAGCAATGGCAATGTCCTCTCTCAACTCCTGACAACTGTATTTGCTGAGTTAAGCATCGTTGGTTATCTTTTAAACAAAATATTTATAGAGCATTCAAAGAAAACTTCCATCTGCCCATGAAATCAATCAAAAGCATATTCACGCTATTTTTTAATGTTATTTTTTTAAATGAACAATATATTTGTTACCAAATTAAGTAGCTAATAATCTATGAAGTAAGTTATTTGAGAAAATAAAAGAAAGATATGGGATCAGTGGTCTCGACGCCTGTACCATCACCTGACAATAGTCCCACCTCACTGGCCAGAATGATGGTGATGTCACAGGAAAAGGTCAGCACTTCAGGCCTTACCTTGCTCTCCTGGGCCTTGTGACCAACTGACATCTGCACAAGAGGGTTAGGGTTGCTGTTTATTTTCTTCCCTGACTATCCAAAAACAGAAAAGACAAAATAAATAAGCAAACATTCTGAAACAGGCTTGTTAAAAATGAAATTATTGGCTATATTAATAGTCATTTCTGTTTACTTCTGAGATTTCAGTTACAGGGACTATCTGGGAACAATTTAACTGGGAAAGGATTGCTAAGCATACCCCAGACCATAATTGTATCTACCATGAAATACACTAGGGAAACATCTATTTACACACAATTTTTAAGTGTTAAGGTCTTTTATTTTTAGAGCAAGCTACTTTGGAAAAATGAAATCTTCTGAATATTTTAATGTTAATTTCAGCTCTCAAGACTTATTTTACCCAGATAACAAAATAAATAAAGTGCAATGAATGAACAGAAAAACATGAGCAAGGACAAATGTAAAAGAGTATATGATTCAGGACAGTCCTCTGGTTGGAATAATAATGCTACAAAGTGTCAGGAACATGTTTCCACATTTTTTACTTAGTATCTTCTGTTCAAACATGTAGCTATCAGGTATCAAATCTACCAGCGGCTAAGTAATTTTGATTGGAAGAATGAACATCAATCTAGAATTGCATTAAATTAAGCAGATACAGATATAATTTTTTAAATGGTGAGAAGCATACTTTAGCACAGAGAGCTGATAGGAGAAAACATAGTAAAACACAACATATATGGGACGTGAGGTTAATTTATAACTCAGCCCCACAGAAGATGCAGTTAAATATCTCTGTTAGTGGAAATTAATTATAGATCACGAAACTTTTTTAGTTAAACAATTTTAAAGTCAATCCACAACACTGCAGCAATGACAAAAATAAGCATCAAATTCATGATTATTGGAATAAAATATTACTAGCCCACACCTACTGCGATAATCTATTTTCTGGTTCATCTTTTTGATGTGAATGAACTCTGCAAAATGAAATAAATACTGTTAAAAAAATTCAACGGCTGTAGACTACCGTGGCAGAGATACTGCTGTTTCCCTTTCTTCCTTGGACATCAGAACCCTGGAGTTTTAGCTGGGCCACGTCCTCTGTAAACGAAGACTCTATTTCTGAACCTTTCCTGCAGTTAGGTGTGGCCAGGTGACCATGCAGCCTTAAAGAGAGAGGTGCTCCCTGCCCTTCCCTTCCTGGTGACCCCCTTTTGGATGGAGGTAGTGAGCAGGGCAGAGCCCCAGGTCAAATTCTGTGACGCTGGAGGAGTTACCTTCTGTCTCACTGAAGCTACAGCTACTTCTGAATCTGAATCAGAAGCTGAGTGTATTTAACTGATGCACATCTTTCTGGTCTGAAAACAATGAAACTCACTATCACTGACTCTATGTACCTGCTTCCAGGAAGATCGAGGCAGTGAGATAACTGCTACTTCCTCAACCCATCTATTTTGCTTCTATTTTCCTTCTGTGTTGTACATGTGAGTGAGACGGTGAAACTGTTTATCCTCAGTCTAAAAATTTCTTAAGTATGAAATAAATTACTTCAATAAGTATGAAATTCCTTCAATAAGTATGAAATAAGTTCCTTCAGTAAGTATGAAATAAACACTATCAAGCCTTTACTGACACGTTTCCTTCCTTTCTTTGTGGTATATAAAATAGTGATGTATCTTAAAAATAGATGATGCTTAAGATCCCAAATCACAAAGTTTTCTACCACAATTCCACATTCAAAATGCATCAGCACCACTCAGTGACATGAGGTTTCATGAAAATAAGTCACAACTGTCCTGAACTTACATCTCAGCTCTTTACCGCTTGATTACCGAGACCCACAGTTCATCTAGTTCAGGGGTGGGGAACGTCCAGCCCGTGGGCCATGTATCATTTGGTCTTGCCCTGCCAAGGTCTCACCAAAGAGAAGCAGTTCCAGCCTAACTCACATTAGGGGTGAGTTAATTAAATGCTTGACCAAATATAGCAGGCTAGTTTTTAAGTTGATAATTTCGTATGGCCTGCAAAAGATGTTATAGACATCCAAATGGTCCTTGGCAAAAAGAAAAAAAAAAAGAAAAAGGTTCCCCACCCTTGATCTAGCTGAACCTCGGTTTTCAAGTCTATACAATGGGCATGATACCATTTCCAGAACCTAGTTGTTAGGCTTCCATGAGGTTATGTAATGACAACTGAAGTAAACATACTGTACTAGCGGCACACAGCACTTCCCAGGCGTGGTCTTACTTCACTCACAACTCCAGTGAAGATCCACACAGTCACATCCCTTCTACAAATAACTGAGAGGATTAACTCTTGAGGAGTGGCCATGCTGGGACTAACCCAGGTGGTCTCATTCCACAGCCTTGTCTAATCGTGACTAGAAATGGGGAGGAAAGCCTGCTGATGTAGTTCCTTCCAGGGTTTTTAGTGGGAACGGTTATTTCAGCTACTGCTAAGCCTCACTTCCCCCCGCCCACCCCGGGCTGAATGCACGCTGCACTGAAGCACGTGTTACTAGCCTTCCTCACTTGTGAAATTTAACTTATCCTTCCAGGTGAAATGGATTTTTAAAAATTCCTGATTCCTTTCTATGGAATTTTCTTTAAATAATTACATTTAAACCCTCCCCTCAAATATTTAAATCTAGAACATTCAAAGAAATAAAAAATAAAATAAAATAAATCATTGTAAGTCATAAAAAACTTTTAACAATTGAACCAGAAAATGCATGTCCTGATGTTTTAGGGTGTGGAGCTTAGTTCTCAATATACCTCAGTGAAGGAAACCCAGAGCTCCTAGGAGGACCCGGCGCCCACACCCAGCAGCGCCCGAAGCTCTGAGGTCACCAGACAGGAGCCAGCTGACTCCGCATATTGGAAGAGGTGATTTGCAAATAGGCAGACCGAGTGCACAAGGTGCACCTTCCAACCAGACTCTGAAGGCCGGTTAAGATTTTACACAGAACTTCTAGTTCACCACTTTCACAAATTCAAGTCCAAGTAAAACTCAGAGGATTTGAAACCGCCTTAGGTATTGCTGCCAAGGCAACAGGACCCATGTCTAACATAACTGACTGGAACTTTATAAAATGTATCTTCAGAGTTGACTCAAATTCTCTAACTACTAACTCTTGGGTAACAAAAGCACGCTCTCTCCAATGACCACTAGTTACTAATTAGTAAAAACCCATGTGGTTTAAGCATCATCTCTTTCAATACGTCTTAGTGAACTCTGGAAGGGAAAACCATGAGTTTACCTTTAAGGCTTTCTGAACTGCGGTCTTCTTGAAGACATCAGGGTTAAACTCTAATGGGTTACTCTTTCCGTCAGAAGAAAATGAACACACCGAGGGTTAATAAAACATGCAATGAGGAGCGTATGTAAGGTTAACCACACGAAAATGTATGCAAACGAACAAAAAAATCTTTAAACAAAAACCATCAACAAGAATTACACAGAACCAGTAAGAAATCATTTGTAAAATTTGTCTTTATGCCCCAGGTTTTATCTTAGGACGAACCTCTGATCTATAAATATCAAAACACGTGTGCTTCTCCTCTGTGGCCACTGTCCCCTCGTCTTTGGGATTTGAAAAGTCCAACAGTGAGCCTTTAAGAAAGGGCTCTATTCACTACCCTTTGCTTGAGTAACCCCCTAAAACACCTATAATCACACTAAAGGTTTTATCTGAAGTACCAATGAATAGGCCACAGATGCCCAAATTACTCTCAAGCCAAATTATACCCCATAATAGTGATGCAATTTCCTTTCTTCTGTGCAAAACCTGCGCAGAGATGGGGCCTCGCTCCTCTGTCCCCCCTCTCCTCTCCAAGTATGAAGTGTTGAGTGTGACTAGCTCATCGAGTTTCTCCTGGCTATAAAGTTCTATATCATGGGCTGAATGTCCTACTTTTATTGAATCTGTAAATTCATTTCTTTCTGGGCCTCAAAAGGGGAAGATTGAGTTGTTTTGCAGGTTCCTTCAAAGGCTAACACGTAAGATTAAAGGTTTTATCATTTTAGTTGTCATTAACTTCAAATGACAAACTGAACTTTATTATTATTTTTTTAAAAACAGCAGATTTTACAATGAAGAAAGAGGGCCTGCGGCTGGCTGGGCCGGAAGAGAGACAGCATCGGGCCAGCAGCACGAACGGGACAAGAGCCAGCCTCGCCCGGCCGCCACCACAGCCGCCTGCTCAGTGCTGGAGCACCGGACCCACCGGGCGAACGTCTGGAGGGAGCCGCCGCTCTGAGGCGAGGGCTGACCAAACCTTCTGACGCTCTCTGGGCAGGTGGGCCACGTGCTACATGCACACGTGACTCTAACATGCACCAGTGACTGCAAAGCAGGGCTAGAGGCAGTGGGTGGGGCGAAGGGTGTGGGGAGCCCTGTGAGGTCCCGGAGCTGCACAGGCCCAGGGGTGACACAGGTCGGTTGCCCAGGCGCACTAGGCAGGGCCCAGCGTGAGGCCTCCAGGCGTGTCTGCGCCTCCACCTCCGCTCACGGCAATGCGGCAGCACTGCCACCTGGGCTGCTTAGTGAGCAAGCCCAGCACCACCCCCACAGCCTCCCCGCTGCACAGCCGGCACCTTCCGTAAAGTGGACATGAGCATGACCACCGCCCGCCTCAGGTAAACCTTGTCCACAGCGGAGCGCCAGGCTCACCTCACACTAGGCGGGAGCGGACAGGGAGGGCCGAGAGTGAGGGCTCTGAGCCACGTGCTGAGCTCAAACCCCAGCTTGCTACTCACCAACATGACCCTGGCCTCCCGCCTCAGTCCCTCGGCCCCATGCTGTCTCCTTATCTGAGGAGTTATGGGGATGGCCTGAGACTAAGGGAGCTAAGCACAAAGAACCCCTGGAAAGTGCTCCGCAAATACAAGTTATCCCAGAAGCTGGAGGTCTAAAGCAGGCCCCTGGGAGCCAGAGGGCACCCCCGATGTTCCCCCAAATTTCCAGGGCAGGATTTAATCAAAAGGTGCTGGGCCAGTGTTGTAAGGAGGCCATTTCCAGCTGGACTAAAATCCTGTTGCACTTGAGTTTCCACATGGGGATCACTGGGGTAATGGCTTATGGGTTGAAAATCAACATTGCTGACCGGACATGAGTATGCACGTTTCTGTGTCCGAATGTGGCTCAAAATAGCCAGTCAGCAAGGTGTTTAAAAGAGCGTTTTGAGCAGGTAGAAGTAGGAGTGTGACAGGCTTGCCACTGTCTAAAACCTTCCCTAGAAGCAGGAAAGGGCAGGGGGGCTGAGAAAGCACAAACCCAACTTCGTAGTGAAACCAATGGGTTTAAAAAAGCAACCATTTGGTTCAAATTTAGTTACAGAGCACTGTGCCGATGCCACTACTTGAATTACAAAGCAGAGCACGTGGCTGACAGGGAAGGAGGAAGGGTGGTTTTCATGACCAGCTGCATCTCAGCAGAACATTACGAAGCAGGGACGGGCCCCGCACAGGTCAGAAGTGTTCACACAATGAGATGTAACGACGGGGCCATCAGCAAGGACGACCCCGTCACAGCAGCTGCCGCAGAGCTGTCCTCTGGAAACAGTGCAACAGAAAGTCGTTTTATGAAAAAGTGGTGCAAAATAGCCCGGCCGGTGTGGCTCAGTTGGTTAGAGCATCGTCCCGATACACTGAGGTCACAGGTTCGATCCCTGGTCAGGGCACATACAAGAATCAACCAGTGATGCACCAGTAAGGGGAGCAGCAAATTGATGTTTCGCTCTCTCTCCCAAATCA